TTAAATTCCTAGAGAAGAAAGCTAAAGGTTGACTATGACCTGCACGATGCTGCTAGAGAACTGCACGACTGCGACATCGGAAGCATCTACCATGAGTTAGATGGGAGCGTCAGGGACTGAGTGCGTAAAGAGGGTGGCATCGCCTAGGGCAGTTTTAACCTTGCCGAAAGCGGCGAGGGCGTCTGCAGATAATTCAAAGGAACCTTTGGGACCCGAACGGAGGTTCATGAGTAGAAAAATGGTGTCAGCACAGTTCGGAAGAAACTGGCGGTAAAAATTTTACCATGCCCAAAAATCACTGGAGTTGACGCTTGGAATAAGGAGGCGGGAAAGTCTCGAATGACCGCAACCTTGGAAGGGAAAGAATGGATGCCGTCGGAATCGACCAGGTGTCCAAGAAACTCGAGGGAAGACACATCGAAGACACACTTAGACTGATTGAGGACCACGCCAAACTATTTAAGGCGGTCAAACACCGTTGCGAGATGTGCCAAGTATTCATCGGCGGTAAACCTGGCAAACAAGAGGTCGTAGATATAGGCATAGACGAAGAGTAGGCCACAGAGTACCCTGGAAACAAATCTCTAGAAGGTTTGGGAGGCGTTGAGAAGTCCAAACAGCATGCGGAAGAACTCGAAGAGGCCAAATGGGATGGTGATGGTCGTCGTTGAAATTTCTTCCGGGCGATGGGAATCTGTTGAAAGGCCCGAACCAGGTCTATCTTTGAGAAGACGGACTTGCCAAAAAGAATACTGGCAAAGTCCTGAAGAAGTGGAACCGCGTAGCAGTCCGAGATGGTGACATTGTTCAAGGCCCGATAGTCACCAGAAGTGGCCTTCGGGACCATATGGAGCGATGAGGCCCATGGACTGTCAGATTTACGATAAATGTTCTTTTGAAGCATGTGCTCGAACTCGGCCTTGGCAGCAGTAAGTCATAAAGGCGAGACGGCGAGGGCAAGAAGACACAGGAGGGCCAGTAGTACGTATGTGATGCACGGCATCGTGCGGCTGTGTATGAACACTGAAGGTGGGACGAGTGAGACTGAAATATCTCGAGAGAAGTTGGCGAAATGGACTACCAGGATCAGGGTCCAAGACTGCGAGTTTTCAGGATACTTCAAATGAAGGGATACCTGGAAAAATCAGCTTCGCATTCTCGAAAACGCCGAGAAAATCTGCACCAAGGATAGCAGTCGGAACATCCGCAACCACAAATATCGAATGAAAGAGTTGTCTGAGACCAATTTCAAGTAAAGTGAACGAGGTCCAAAAGAAGCGATAGCGGAGGAGTTAACAGCTGGAGCAAAAAACCAGGATTGGGGAAACGGCGTTCAGTTGGTGGGAGAGGGATGACGCTCAGTTGAGCGCCAGGTTCAACCATGAAACGTCTGCCACTTTTGGTGTCGCAGCCGTAAAAGGTGCGACCCGAAGAGTTGCCAGGGTGCTCGGTCCATGTACTCTCCAGCCGAGGAGTTTGCTGATGAGGACTTAAAAGAAGAAGGTGGAATGCAGTCCTTTGCTCCAGTGCCCCAATTGGCATGGTGCCAACAAAGATCACCGTCCT